ACAATTAAATTTATAATTTTAATTAATTTTTATAAATTATAAATTATAAATTATATTTTTAAATAAAATATTATGCAAAATGATCCGTGCAAAAGCATTGACAAAGAAGGCAAAGGATATCCTTTTTCTCGTGAAATTGAAAACAAAATTGATTTACCATCAATTTCAGTTAAATTTCTGTTAGATTTGTTATCGCTCACGCAATTCCACTCGCAATTTCATTTTGAGTTTTTTACCTCATGTTCAATACTGTTTTAATAATCCACCAATCTCTGGGTAAAAAGAATTTGTTTCTTCTAAAATAAGATTTTGAATTTAAATTTTGTGAATAAAAAAATAAATGTTACGAGAACTTCCCCATATAAAGTTTGACAAGCTTGATTCCGAATTAATTAGGACAAAATGTGACTTTCAGACACCAACATCGAGAGATTAATACCATAAAATTATTGATATAAAATTATTAAAAAAACATTATTTATTTATTTTAAGTTAAATACTTTTTTTGGTCCTTCTACTATAAGAAAAAGCTCTTTTTTGGTCCCTGTACTGAAGAAATCCTTTTTTAGTCCTTACTGTTCATAAATCCGGCCCCTTTTTGGTCATTCCGTTAATTTTTGCTGTTAACTTAACTTAAATAGTTGATGTAGATATGCCAACATGCAAAATATGCTTACGTGGACTCCATGTCATCCTCCACGTAGACTCCATGTCACCCTCCATGTGTGGACTCCACTTCCTCCTGCCATTTTTTTTTCTTTTTTTCCTTTTACCCCATAGGTGAACCCAAGCTACCCAGGAGCCTGGGTTCTTCGCGAACCTGCAAGCTGGGTTCGTCGCGGGCTACCCACGAGCCTAGGTTCGTCACATGCTTCATATATTATTGTATATCATGGAATGCATCCTGAAATTTTAAAAAGAATTGAAACAAAAGACACATATCCAACTCAAAAGAAAATATCTTTCACCTCAACAACTCAATCTCTAACCATAGACATGAAGCATTGCCTAAAATCATCAC